TTTATTTATGGTGGCCAAGAATAACTTACTCAGCAAAACTTGAGTATAATGTGACAGGGGGGAAAAAAGGAACCCTTAGTGAAACAGAGGACTCCAAGCATGAAAACACAAGAACTACAGAGAAACTCTGACGATCAAATACAGGGGTGAAGAGAAACATGAAAATTTTAATGTGAATGATAAAAAATTGAAAAAGGCTAAGCTGCTTACATTCAGATATAGGGAAATAATACGTATCCCCTCTGAACTGTATCATCAGGGGTTATATAGGGAATCTATATAGATATGGTCTGAGAGTGTTTTTGTTGTGTCTTGTTGATAATAAGAAAAGAAAAGAATAGAAAGAGGGGAAGGGGAGAAGTGAGGGAAGGTTTGGGAAAAAATTATCTCATAATTTGGGTGTACAAGTAGACATCTATTTATAAACAAAGAGGGAGGGAATTGGGGGAGTAGTTGACACTTAAATTTCTCTCTCTAAATTGGTCAGGGGAGAGAGAAATACACCTAGTTGGGTTTGGAAATATATTTCACTTAGTAGGGAAAGAGGAGAGAAAAAGGAGGAATAAGAAGGAGGAATTAGAGAGAGGGTAAATTAAGGAAGGAAAGGGTTCTAAACAAAACAAAGGATGTTCAAAAATATTTATAGCCTGTGTCTCAGTAAATTAAAGTAAGCCGAGGGACAAGGTTCCAAGCAAGATCAATTTATTAATTAGGCTAGTAGTAACCAATAATTGGGTCAGTAGCCTCTCTCAGTGACCAATGATCCTGAGGGCTGACAGGAACTTTCATAACAGTAAACAAGACAGCAGAGCAAAATCTCCAGCATTGTGAGACTATCTTCTTCTGATTGTTATGATGACAATCCCAATTGGTAGAAATTTTAACGAAGAGGTAGGTTAAGAATGGCCTCAGCTCCTCCCCATTACCTCCTCCCTGGGAGCTGGGAGTTATTAGGATAGGATTAGTCTACAGATGTGAGTGTAGTTTGCAACCCCCTCTGATTCAGTCCACTTGGATTTGAGTTAAGTGACTGATGGTTGAGGTTACAAAGGAACATGAATGTGTGATAAGTTGGTGGTGAAGGAGGTTACAAAGGTAGATAATACAAGTGTGGAGATTCATTTCACAATAGAATTGAGTCCGGAATGGAGGTAAAGAGTGAAGTTACAACAAAGGAGTTTGGATTTACCTGTTATGGGAGAGTATTAAACCCATAGCAGCTTAAGTCTTAAAAATAGAATTAAAATCAATTTTCAATTTTATACCCCTTACCGGGTGGCAGTGAATAGAAATCTGAGGAGGTGGAATTGGGGAATGGCAGAATAAGTTATGCCATATAGATGTGATGGAATGTATTGTGCTATAAGAAATGATGAAGGGGATGGTTTCAGAGAAACCTGTCAAGATTTGTATGGACTGATAGAGTGGATAGAACTAGGAAAAGTTTGTGCCATGACATCAATATGGTAAAGACAAACAACTCTGAAAGAATTAGGAACACAAATCAGCATGATAGTCAACTATGATTTCAGAGGACTAATAGCGAAACATGCTACACCTCTTGTTAGAGGAGTGAAGGATATGTGGTGCAAAATGAGTCTTGGGTTTTGGTTTTTGCTTGTTTGTTGTTAATATAGGCAGTGTGGAAATTTGCTTTGCCTGGCTGTAAATACTTATCACTGGGTGGGGCAGCTAGGTGGCGCGGTGGACAGAGCACGGCCGTGGATTCAGGAGGACCTGAGTTCAAATCCGGCCTCAGACACATAACACTTAACTAGCTGTGTGACCCTGAGCAAGTCACTTAACCCCATTGCCTAGCCAAAACAAAAAAAAAATATTTATCACTGGGGTATGTCTTTGTTTTGTTCTCAATGAGGGATGGGAAGGAGAGAAGGTGGATTTTTGCTGATTGAAAAAGAACAGTTTTTAAAAAGAATGTTGCTTCACTGTAAGAAATTTGTGAAGGTGGAGAATTCAGAGAAACTATTGCAGAGTGAATAAAGCAAAACTGTGTGTGCGCTCGTGTGTGTGTGTGTGTGTGTGTGTGTGTGTACACAACACTGCAAATGAAAACAGAAAAGAAGAGGGAAAAGAGAGGAGGAGAAGGGAGAATTAGAGGGAGGATAGGTTGACGGAGAAATCAGTCCTAAGCCAAACAAACTTTAAGGATGTATAAAAATATTTGTAGTTCTTTTTGAGCTGGCAAATAATGGGAATCCCGGAGAGTGCACCCAAACTGGGGAATTGATTAACAAGTATAATTGTAAGTATACAAATGTAATGGAACACTTTTGCACTGTCAGAAATGATGAAGGAAAGGATTTCAGAGAAACCTATGAAGTCTTGTATGAACTGATGCAGAGTGAACAGGATCAGGAGAACAATTTATATAGTGACAGCCAAGCGTGATTGCAGAGGACTAATGAGAAAATGTGCTACCCACCTCCTGATAGAAAAGTAACAGATTCAGAGTGCAGACAAATATATTTTTGGACATGGTCAATGGGAAATTTGTTTTGATTGACTATATATGTTGGTAATGGGTTTGTTTTTCTTTCATTCTTAATTGGAGAGAAGGGAGTGTGAGAAGACATATTTTTGCTGATTAAAACAAAATATTTCTTTTTCTTTAAAAGGAGTTCAGCTTGTACCATACCATTTCTCCTTAGGAGTAGACCCCCACCTCTACGTCTGTTTATTGTCCCCAGTCATCAGCAGCCACATCTCTGATCCCACTATGGAGCAAAAGCAAAATCCCCAACCTCAAGCTAGCATTCCTCTGAACTCTGCACTTCATCAGTTTGGAGCCCAGATGGCTCCAAGGAGTCTTGAAGGCCTGGAGTGGCTCTGGAAATAGCTAGTCAGCTTCCTAAACCCTGATAGCACAATGAGCCCTTGAAGTTTGTTCCCTGAATAGACTGAGGACCTGCTGGTGTGTTTGACGCAGTAGAAATTGCAGTTCTGGGGAGTCCTCTCCAGAACTCCTTATAGCCCTGGCCAAAGTGGCTTTTATAATAGCCCTTAGTAGCTTACAGGAACAGTTGACACCTGATTGTGATTTTATATTTCCAGCTACTGGTTCCACTGGCTTGGGTAAGGCAAGGGATCATAGAAGTTGATGCCACCTCCTTTAGGACTCTAAGCCAAGTTTTGTCTTAGAATATAACTACATTTTGTTAGTTTGGGAAAGTTTTGGCTGCACCTGTCTACAGTGAATTTACCCAGGGCATGTGACTGATTCAGTGCAGCCAGGTAGACTGGCTGTGTTCCTCTTTGATCCCACCAGTAAACAGTGTTGACATGGAAGAGCCAGGGTAGCCTGAGACTCACTCCTGTTACCCGGGGTCCCAAATATAACCCAGGAATACAGATATGGCCAGACAAGCCTACCTATCTCCATGAGTAAGAATGTTGTGATTGAGCCCCCAGAGCCAACCAGTTCCCACAGCCTAGCCACAGCTCATATATTCCTAATGCTCAAAACTGAATTCACAGCCACCAGATGTTGCAAGACTCACCTTTACAAAAACTTGGTCCTTGTTTTGTGAAAGGAGGTGCCCCTGCCACCCTGAACCTCCCCAGTGGTGGTTGAGACGGTCTCTGGCTGCACATATGATCTGATATCTGCGGGTCTGGGAGATAAGCCATTGCTAAGTGCTCATCCTAACATCACTCCTTCCCCCATCAGAGCACGAGTGGTGCTTTGTATGATCTGGCCTGCCATGAGAATGTACCTTATTTTGCCATATCCAGCCATGAGGGTGCCTTTCACTGCCGTGTCCCCCTCCCCCACCTATAAGTGTCCCCTAGGCCAGAGTTCTCTTCCCAGCATCCCAGACTTCAGGATGGATTTCTTGTTCCACTGTCAACTAGGGCAATATGAAGTAGATTGAAGGAAAGGAAATTAAAGTGATAATATACATATTGGTTCTTTAATCTGTTTCCTTAGCTTTCAAAGTTATTTATGTTCAGAGAGAATAGGATCATTGCCATAATTTAGTTGTGCTGAAGTGTTTGGCTGTAACTTTTTAGTGCTGATAGATTACAGATTCGTCCGACGTAGAGTCTCTGCAGCTTGGCTGCAACAGATGGCTGTATTAAACGTCTTGAAGCTTTTTACTTGCATGGGGCCAAGAGAGTGAGGGCAGCAACAGATGGAAGCAATCCCCTTTATTTAATGTTCTGTATATGTTTACTGAATCCAACAATAACATTGCACATCTGTTTGAACAGCTGTCCCTTGATTTCATTTTGTTTGTTGTTTAGGTTTAATAAACATGTCTTTAATACTTACTGTCTGATATTTTGGCTAGTCTCCCTCCTTTAATAATTATAACACATCCCATTCCTTTTTTATTGTGATCTGCTTTGAAGATTTGTAGAATGAGTTAATTTACTTGTGTAATTATTTGTTGATTCAGTTTATTAATGATTTTCTTATTTATTAAATAATTCAGAGCTTCTGTAGTATTAGATGTTAATTTCCTAATTTAATTAAAAAAACACTTATTTAGCATGGTACTAAGTGTGAAGCATTTTGCTAAGTAGTGGGGATTACATATTCAGAAGCAAAGACAGCCCCTGACCTCAAAGAGATCATATAGTAGTGGGTGAGACTACACATATTAGGGGAGTGGTGGTCAGGAAGAGATATTTTCCTTATAGGTATATGGGTAGAGAAACCCTAGAGTTTTAGGGCTGAAAATAGACATACACATGATTGGTAAGAAAGATGTGGAGGCCAGTGGTAAAGAATTTTGATTTTGTTGACATTCTTTCAGGGTAAGGTGATGCATCAGCAGGTGTATTATCACTTTAATTCCCTTTTGTGGCATCTGTTTTATGTAGTTATAATTGATTATGCAGTTGGCAAATTGAGTGAGGACTGTTAAAAGAAGAAAAATGAGGGAGACTCATTTGGTACTTATTTATAATGTTGTTTTCATCTTATTCAGAGTGACCTTTTAACAGAATAAATATACCAAATCCTGTGTTTGCAGGTAAGGGATCTGTCCATTGCTTATTTCCTGGTGATGTTAACATACCTCTACATCGGTCTCCTGGTTTTTGCTTCATTTCCCTCTCCACCATTATCCAAAGAATGCATTGAGCAGGTAAGGAAATATGCACCATACACAAATGTTTATGCCTGCACGTTATGGTACATTTCTTTTCCAAAAGAACTATACAAATTCTATAGTACTTCCAGAGAAAAAGATCCAGTCCCTTGTCCATTCCTTCCTAAAGAATAAGCTTAGTAGCTGTCAGGATGACCCTTGGCAGGTAGGTAGTGCTGTAGACCAAAAACATTTATTTATTTCTTACTACGTACAGATAATTGTACTAAACACCGAGGGAGATGGAAAGATTAAATGAGACTTAGGCCCTTCCCCTCATGAAGTCACAGCTTCCTAAAGATAGAACACATGCACAAATAATTATCATACAGAATAATGCATGGAAATTTCATGAGAGGTACAAACCGAGTGCTTTGTGTTAGCCAAGCAAAGAACATGTTACTAACTGAGGAGTCAGAGCAGGCTTCACAGAGGAGATAGCGTTTGCCTTGGTCCTCAATATGTGGGTAAGATTTTATTAGATGAAAATGAGGGGGTGGGCTATTCAAGATTAAGAAATGAGCCTAAAGCATAGTGGGCAGGAGGCAGGGAGGGCAATAATGTGGGAGCATATAAGATATCTACTTCCAGACTAGAAATGTCTGTCAATATGAAGCAGTAAGCTAAAAGAAGAATATTTGTAGATGCTTTCCTACCTGGCTCCCAATTGTGCCCCCACCTACCACCATCATTCATGTTTATTCTTGTGGGAGCATATTAAAACCTTTTTTTTAGTTCAAGTGAAGAATTTACATATATATATATATATGTATATATATATATGTAAATTCTCACTTGAACTACAATGTTTTTTATTGTTATTTTTTAGACTTCAGTAAAACCAATTAACACCATCTTCCCCTTTGCTTTTTGTATACTTGTAGTATGCCAAGTACAGGAACAAGATAATGAAGAGGTACTTTAGGCTCAAGCGGGCTGGTCTTCTAGAATAGCTAATTGAAACTGAAAAAGAAATAAGATTAAAGTAATAATTGTTCTGAAGGGTTGGAGAAAAGCCTCGGTCTCCTTTTTCTAAATTGCCTGGCAGGTCCCAGGACAGCCTTGGATTGTACTTCTGAAAAATCCCTTCACATAGACTTCACACAGTCTGTGAAAACAAAGGTGCCAAAGTTTATTCATAGACTGATTTTTTAAATTGATTTTTTTTCTCTTATAAAACCAGTTTCCTCTTCTCTCAGGAAGGGTCTTGGAGGCAGTTGACTGGGACTTTTCCAGGACCTGTTATAAACATCAATTGATGCAAGTTTAACAATACCAAAGATAAGATGGAAGTCATTTGAATAGGGTATGGCAGAATGATTTAGATTTCCACAAATCACAAAATTTTCCATTTAAACTCAGTATAGACAATATTCATATTTCATTTATATTCTAAATATTCAGACTTCTTGTGAAATGCTTTCAAATTATGCCAATATAATTTCCTACTTCCCAAAATATGCTGCAATGTTTGCCAAACCCAAAATAGCTCTGATAAACCAGAGCATGCACATTTGAATACCTAAGACAGTCTCTAACAAAAAAATGCTGTCTTCCAGACAAATGTCATTAATACATAATTCTAGTTCATTAATCAGTCAGCACTCAGAAAAAAAGGATCTCACCTCACATTACAAATGCATCAAGCTCTAGATAGTCCCCCAAATTTTAAAATGCTTCTAGGATATTTTCCAAAATTAAAATGCAAGAAACTTAAAAACAGCACTAATATAAAATAATCTCATTAACTTAATATCTAAAACAAAAACAAATTGATAGATATAGTATTAATTAAGTTAAATTGAATCATCTATGTGGAAAATATATTCCATGCATCTGGGTTCTGCTTTTGGTATTCTATGTTCATTGCATTTAGAAATTGTTATAGAATAGTTAGCAGTTTTAATCTTGTAGCTACAATATGTGGCATCAGCAATTACTATCCAGACCACAGATCAGCTGTAGATAAACAAATAATAATTGCCCCTAATTTATCAAACTCAGTAAAAATCCAAATTTTAAATTGTTCAATTCTAGATGTTGCTCCATAATTCCAGCTACTTTTCCAGATTCATGAGAATAGTAGTATATCTAAAATTAAGCTTGGAAATCATGAGAAATCTCAAAATTAACTTCAGCTCTCTGAGGGAAGAAACCAGCATTTCTCCAAGGGTAATTTACAACTCCACAGACATAATTATCTCAACCATCTCAACTATTCTCTTCTTTTTTCAGTGAAGTCTAAAAAAACTTCCTTAAATAAGCATTGCCTCCTACAACAAACCTGGGCTTATTGTTTTTTGCCATTTTTTTTAAGTTGACCTAAATTCTGGCAAAAAAATGAGGGCCTTGTATTGGTCCTTGCTTAAGGGAATTTCTATTCTATGAATCAGAAATTGATTTTAAAATGTTCTACTTTGAAGAACATTTTTATCCACGTCTCATTGTCTTTTGTCTGAACTTCAGGCCTCTGTATCGGTGTAAACTAGCCTACTGTTTTATTTACCTGTTCTTTTTTCTTTTGGCTGACTGAGCATGTTTTCTTGAAAATCCCAAAACTGTATTTCTTCTTATATCAGTTCACATAATAACAACATAACAATAGCTAGTAAGTGTCTGAGACTGGATTTGAATTCAGATCTACCTAACTCCAGGCCCAGCGCTTTATCCACCTCCTCACCTACCTGTAGGTAGCAAGCATCAGTCAACCATACTGCAGTAAATTGGAGAAGGAATAAAAAAGACGGTAAAAATAAAACAAACCTGTTAGCAAGAATGAAGGCTGGTGATAAATTCTTTTTTAAAAATCAATTTTTTACTCACATAGTTTCTGGAGCTTTTGTTTTAAACAGTAGTAACTGGCAAAAGTATCCACACTTGGAGATGGGTACTTGGATCTCAAGAGTACAAATTTTAGCACCCAGGATACTTCTAGCCACAAACTGAGACATTATTGTCAATAATTTTACAAAGACCACCTAGATTTAGACTTCTAGTTTTGTCTTAAATCTTGCACCCAAGTACCCTTTCAAAAGTATCAGGACATTCTAAGAATCAGTGGACATTAAATATAACTGTATGATCAGGAGGGCAAAAGGTTCAGGGCTTGCATGTTAATGTCCATGTAGATAGTTAGGATCTCATTCCATCTTCTTGAATCTAACAGTATACTGCATGAAGCCATCTGTTTCTGGGAAACATTTTTCCCTGATAATTCTGAGTCAAAAGGATCTTTTTTGACCCAGTGACCCCAGCCTTCTGGTTGTTCCACCAACAAGACACTCCATCTCTCTGCTCCAGACATTTTTTCCAGCTGTCCCCCCATGCCTGGAATGCTCTCCCTCCTCTACTCTTGGCTACTGACCTCTCTGGCTTTCCTTAAGTCACAGCTAAAATCCCACCTTCTGCCAGGAACCCTTCCCTAATCCCTCTTTAGTCCAGTGCCTTCCCTCTGTTGATTGTTTCCTGTTTATCCTGCATATAACTTTTTTGTATATATTTGTTTAATTGTAAGCTTCTTGAAGGTAGGGGTCTATCTTTTGTCTCTTTGCACCTTCAGCTGTTAGCATAGGCCTGGCAAGTAGAAGGCACTTAATGAATGTTTATTAATGCAACAGCAGAAGTTCCAAAGCTGCTAATACCATGCAAATCTGAAAATCCCTTGAAGTATCAATCAGTAAATATTTATTAAATGCCTGAATGGGCAGATGAAAAGTTTATTTCAGCAGCTGTGAAGATGCTGTGGAGCTCTTAGAGCTTGGTCAGACCTCAGAGACACAAAGGTTATCCATTGTGACGTGTAAAAAGTTTGAGAGACATCGTTTCTGAATAATTAATCATTTTATTAATAATGCTAGAATGTTATTAATAAAAAGATGGTCATTTGGCCACCTTTCTTAGACTAAAATCATGGAACCCACTCAGTGTTTATGTGCCCTTGGAAGATTGGGTGTCCCTGAGTTGGTTAGCAATTAATAAGAAGAATGAATATTATAATGAAAGGTGGATATTATAATGAGTGGTTCTAATGAGGGGCTGGGGGATATAACTTTAATTATGTCATTTATTTCCAAATCACCCCTGCCTTGGGCAATCTAATCAAAGAATTTATCCCCACCCAAACCTGAGTAGAACTTCCTGAGTAGGGCTTCCTTGCCTGGGTGGGGTCTGAACAAGATTAAGGAGAAAGTTAATCCAGTCTGTTTATCTGCAGGCTGGTTTGGCCTAGTAGAGAATAAGTTTTCAAAGAGGATTAAATCCTATGTCTCCCCAATATTAACAATTAGTTATTTAATAATAATTTCTCTCACACTTCATCCTGGGCCACCACCAGTCGTCCTGACTTTTGTCTTGCCACTGGACTTGAGAGTGAGGCTGACAACTTTGTGCAGCTCTGCCTCGCTTAAATCCAACTCAGAAGCAAGTCAGGACGTCACCCTTTGATGTCAGTGGTCCTCTTCATAAATGAAGGACAAACAACGTTAAACAGAAGAAGGCACCATTTAACTGTCTGAGGAAAAAATCTCTTGTGATGTTGTGCATCGTGGCCATAAGCCTGCCAGAAAGTTTTCATTAATTCATCATTGTTCTAAATTAAAGCATTTCTTCTTCTTCAGGGAGGGGTGTTCAAACTGAGAGTCTGCTCAGGTCCTTGGACATCTCCTCTTGCTCATGTCATTTTTGAAGTAACATATGTCTTGAGACTCCTCCCAGACACCCTAACTTCTCAGTTCCTGTGATGTGCTCCAACACTGAGCTTACCCTTTGATCTTACCAGCACAAGCAAACGTTCTTCTTCCATGTTCATGAACTCTGAGATTCCTTTATCTGATCATAATCTTTAATTGTTCCTCCTTCCCTTTGCCTTATGACCCCTAACTCTGTTCTCTTTCCTCACCATGACCTTTGGTCTCTCTACCCTGCAGTTCTTTCCCTGGCCATCACCCCTGTACTGGCTACATTCTCCACTAATCCCTATCTTGTCCCCTTGATGGACC